ATATATATATATATATATATATAATAAGAATTACCATTTATTAAAAATAGTAGCAAAATAATAGGTCAGAATTTAATGCAGCCTATAAATAGTAAGTTTTATTATTTTTTTATTTTTTTCTTTAAAAATCATACAACATTAAATGCTACATTAAATTTCGGGCTTTAATTTATTTTATTATTTTAAAAATCTGGCTAAAATTTATTAAGTGTGTATGTTTTTATTTTTATTTTTTTTTCTTAGAAACAACAAACAATATTAAAATCTCGATCTCTATATTTATAAAATCTCAATTTAAAATATAACAAAAGTTTTAGAATCTCGGTCTTTATATTTGTGACTTTAAAAAAATATTGATCGCAAAAAATATTCTTTAATTGCATATATAATCAATCAATTACTCTTAATTTTTTGAAAATTACTGTGTTTATTTTTTATTAATATGCATATAAGTAAAAATAATTAATTCATCTATAGATATATAATTTATAATCTTAATATACTATCATTTGGTGTAGACATTTATTATATGAATCATAAAATATTTTTATTTCATAAAATTAATTATATTTAAATAAAATAAGAAAATTTCTTCGGATCAATCGAGTGATTGAATTAGGGTACTGCCCAGGTTGATTGAATTACTTTTAGGTGATATTTAAAATCGTCAAAAAATTGACACAACTTGGTTGGTTCCAGGAGACTAAGTTATGTATCAGTTCGACCACACCAAATTGATTATTGAACCTAAATATAAATTTTATATTGAAAATATTTTATTACGTGAATGTGATGTAGTCCAAACTTCAAATAATCGTATTAACAATACTTTTATGACAACATCTTTAATAATTTATGAATATTTATATATCATTTTATTAATATTTATGTGAATTATATAATATTTTATTATAATATTTATTAATGTACAGTAAATATAAGGTGTTCAGAACTGGACCGTCATCGAAACGATCAAGCTATTTTATTAACTCCTTTGTGGTTTGTTCAGATTTTAATTTTATAAATATTTTAATAGATATATATAAATATATATATAGATATAGTACTTTTTGTAATAAATTTAAATAAAATGTGTTACTTAGATATCTAAATAATTTATAAATTTAAATGTTTAAACTAATTGATAAATAATTTATAAATCTATATTTTATTTAAATATATAATTTTATTTAAAATAATTGTAAATATAACAAAATTTATTTAGAAAATCGTATCGATCCTACCAGTCCAACCGACTGGTGTTGACGGATTCGAGAACAAATATTTTATTCAAGCGAACTAGACTGATTATAAACCGATTCTCAATCCATCCAGTCGGACTGTGTCCAACTCGGTTTAATTTAAAAACAATGGATAAATCATGATTAATTTTATATATATATTTAATTTATAATACAATCGTAATATTGTTTTCTCGTGCACCGCACGGGCCACACACTAGTTAACAAAAAAAGTAGAAAAAAAAATTATCATTAATTATCACCATAATGAGAACATATAAGAACCATTGGATCTCTTGCATCCAAAGAATGTACACCAACAAACAACTAGTAAATAATGGTTTAGGGTAAAAGCGTAACTTCCACATTTCCATGAAAAAAAGGGAAAAACAGATCATCCCCAAATCTCCACGTATCTCAACGGATTCCCTAAAAAAAACGGATTTTAACACAAATTCACCTTATAATACATGTTATGAGCTAATCGTATATCTGATTTGATAAAATAAACTACAAAATTCAAACCCAAGAATCCATAGATCGATCTTGTGATCTAGTACGTGTGTTTCGCATACTGCATATTGATATTTTACTGTTGGAATCTTGAATAATGAAACTAGCTTCAACGATTAACTGTGACTTGAATTCAGGTATGCAATAATGATCTCGAAATTCAGTTGTATTTACAATTTTTTATCAGACACGAGTTGATATGCTCGGTTAAAATGTTTCTTCAACGTAGTCAAATGTTGAAGGTATGAGGCATGAATTGTTTTTAAATATGGCCTATTATTGAATTTATTCAACATACAGTTCGTTAATTTACAACATAATTGTATTGCGTGCTGGTTACGGAATATCATCTTCAGTTCAATATTTTATTTTGATTCTGTATTTCTTTTTTTTTTTACTTTTGTTAATTTTTTTATATTGACTTGATCACAGCTGATTGCACCATGAACACTATGGATTCAACCGAGCAGCAAACAAGTAATGAACGAACTTTTTGTTACCGATATACCAATTATAAAATTATGCTACAACTGCTCTTGAAGGCTTATGAATGAGCCTTTGGTTTATTATTCCAAAACAAGTTGTGCATTTATCTTGCTAAGTTGTTTTGCTTATTTGTACTTTGATAATCGTTAAATGTATATTAGGATCAACGCAGCCTGATATTTGATAAAGACTAATAATTACACCCGGAGGCACCAAATATTGAATACCTAACTGTGATGACACACTTTTGCGTTGGTAAAAATTTACAGACTTTAATGCACGAGTTCAATAAAATGTATGCTAACACTGTCAGATTTGATGTGACATAGCACATTAATAAAGGCTTCTGACAACACGGTGATTTGAAAATATTTAGTGTGTTCAAGAGAAGGGTTTAAGAACCATACCAATAAAAACAATTGAGTTCAAAGTGCTTGCTCTGTAAATATACGTGGAATATCAAGTCAATGTGTAATGCCTGAATCATGTTGAGACTCGATGGAAACATGGCTACACTATTAGTTCATTCGAGTAGATACATAACCACGCTATGTATACATATGAATGCAAAGCACGTCTGAAGATCAGTCGAACAATAAATGCAGATTATCAAAATTTTGTTTTAAATTGTATAAAATACAACATAGGTCCTGTCAAATCCTATAAATTGTACAAATAAGTAGTAGGTGTGTATTCAAATGTTGGTGGCACCAGTGTGGATTTCAAGAATTCAAACAAGAACTACTAGCATACATTTCGGGGGTTGATGTTTAGTTGGTGATCGAGAAATATTATACTTATAGTAAACAGGAAATTAGCTCGACCTCTTATTTCCAATATGATCTCAATGATAGTGACTGTTTAAAACGGATTTTTTTTTTTTTTTTGGGCTGATCCAATCTCGAGAAAAAACTATGGAGCTTTTGGTGATGTGGTATCATCTGATGCAACATGCCGCGCTAATAGGACAATAGTATTAGATTTGCACAATACATTATTGTACATTGCACATTACTGTAAAAAAAATGCATAATACACCACACATGTATGATAAAACAACTCAAAATATTATTTGCTTTCTGTAGGTACAATTAATATGGTGTTTGCACCATTCACTGGAATAGATAACCACAACAAATGCATGACATCTACATCTGTGTTAATATCCAATGAGAGAGTGGATTCTTGAAAAGGGTCTTCAATAACTTCAAAAAGGCAATGGTTCAGGAACCAAAGTACATGGTCACTGATCAAGACCCATCTATCGGTATTACTTTTCCTAAAGTATTTGATAACTGCAAACACCATTTTTGCATGTGGCATATCATGACAAAGTTGTGTGATAAAGTTATCATTTCTTAAGTACCAATTCTGATTTCAAATTGAGGAATAACGGAATTGTTTGGAGTCAAACTATTAAACCTAGTGAGTATTATGATAAATGGACTGAAATTATGCACGACTGTAACTTGAAAAATTATAAGCGGTTAAGTGACATATATTCAAAATGAATTCATTGGATTCCAACATTTTCTAAATTTCTTAGTATGAGCGGTTTGATGGGGACTACATCTAGATCTTAAAGTGAAAACAATTATTTTGAAAATTTCACCAACAGTCATTCTAGTTTGGTTGGGTTTATTTTTTCACTTTAATAGTTTCGGTTTGCAATAAAAAGCGTCTTTACGCTTCTTACTCCAGTTTGGTTTGGCCAAATTGGCCTTAGCCTCTAGCTCGCTCCATTTAGCTAACACTTCAGTTTATCGATTATCTTCTTCTATGCGAAGACGAATTATCAAATCTTAGAGTTTCATCTCTTTGCATTTATGCCTGGGACAACTCTTGAAGTCTTTTCACAAATGAGGCACTTTTTTTACAACAGTTGTCACTTGAAAGGTTTCGTTCGCAATCAATCCCTCGGCCAACTTATCATTGAGGATAATTTCAACCTCTTGAACTTGATTGACCGCCAACTTTGTGTCAACCATCAAGTACTTTAGGAAATTCTCAATGAGAAATTTCTTAATCCCAGCGTCATTTGCCTTGCACTTCACTTTCAAGGAATTTCATAACTCCTTATCCGTCTTAATCGAACTATACACATTGTCGTCTAGTCCGTTATGTATGAGATTTCTATGCCAGAAATTGTTGTGATACCAAGAATCTCATGCCGTATGCTTTTGGATGTTGATCTCATTTCCAAGGACGATCAAAGTATCCTCTGAAATGAAACAAACCTCTTGAAATCAGAGCCGTTGAATTTCGTCTTAAGATTGTTGTTTGTGTGGTTTGTGAATATCAAGGGAATGACTTAAGGAGAATGAAGGAAACAAAATCAAAATCAAAGTTGAGGCCTGTAATAGTTATGTTCACCTTAAGACAAAATTGTCTCGTACAATACTCACAGTTCCACGACAAACGCCTCCAAGATACAACGACTTTTGACTTGTTGATATCGGTACTTCAAATAGACAAGCATTCGAAGAATAATGCTATTGTTTGGAACTCTCAAGACACAATGGAAAATTTATAGAATACAATATATTATATGATCTTTAAAAAGTAATGCAAGAGCTCTTAAATTTCAATTCTATGATAAATTATTCAAGCATGTGAGGTCTTTATAGATGTGGAATACACCTCCAGATGGTTTTAGTGTCAAAAGACTCATTCTATGACATGCCCGAATGAGAACGGATGCAATTAAAGGTCAAAAGATTCCTTATAGTCACCAGGAGTCGCGACCCTCTGCTGGCTGCGGAGGTCTTCACGGCCAGTTGTGTGTCCGTGCGTTGCTGGCTAGTACGTGCTCATCTGGACTCGAAATCGTGTTCTGTTTTTTCCTACTTGTTTCTAACAAACTCTTTTAGAGTTGTAGAATGCAAATTGTATGATAATGGCTAGTTTGGCTTATTCTAACATTTGTCAAATACATAATATTTTTGCATTTTGCAATTTTTGAGTTACTTAAACTCAATTGTTTCATCTTTACATTTTCCCACATATACAACTTAGAACTAATTTTCCATTCACTCTATTTTAAGAATTTTCGAAGTGTTCCACCTACGAAAAATGAAATCGTAAAACCGAAAAAAAAAATAATAAAATAAAATAAAAATAAAAATTGATTTTCTTACAATAGTTAGATCCAAAATTTATCGGACTCTCCTTCAATTCACCATTATATGCAATATTCCTGATCATATAGGAATTAATATGGCAAAAACCATAAAGTCAAAGTCCACCCACCTTTACAAATTTAACTACATGTGTGAAAGTTGGGGCTCAAATAGCACCGGTTTTCCATATGAAAGTGTAGCACTATTATTTGTATTACTCATGGATTGGCGGCTAACTAATGTACACGGTACATACCAACGTGTTGAAAATTGAGACCTGAAAATGTTTGATGGACCTTCATTTATGACTTAATTATACCAGCAATGCGCATTATAAAGTCTTTAGTCATATGTCACTCAAATATATATATATGTATACATATTCCACATATCTTCCCATGAGGACAATTATCTAACTAGTGTACGAGTTTTTTAATTAATTACTGAAGTTTCGTTGTTGTTTCCCATTTTTCTCTTATTTTTTCACTTCGATTCTTCCATATCTTTTGATATCATGCGTCTCATGCAATATTAATATATTGTATTGTGGTTTTAGAATAATTTTCTGCATGAAGCCCACATACGTGGAAGCTATGTCAAGTTTTTAGATTTTTTTTCATTTTCTTTTCTTTCTTATTCTCTTAATTAATTAAATAACGATAGATTTTTTCCATTTTCTTTTTCTTTCTTATTCTCTTAATTAAATAACGAAATAATTATAAAGTAGGAGAAAAAGGAATTTAGATTAATATTTATTAAAAAATAGTTGGAAAAAAATCGCAACATTTTAAATGTATACTATTTGAAAATTATTTAAACAGGTTTCAAATCAAAGTTTAATCAGGATTCTAATCAAAATGTACCAAATACTATTTGCATGTTTCCGGAATTTTCGTAAATATGTTCCCAAAAACAGGAAAAATATAAACAATAATTAAAATACACTGATTATCATAGAATCTCATACAAAAATCTGTACAAATCCATATGTGATGTTTTTCGGTTCGTTATTTGAAATTAAACTTACCAGCATTTTAAACAAAATTTTATATATCAGTACATATCCTTTAAATAAGGTTGAAACTTATCATACTAAAACTTATTTATTATATCTTTGTTTGCGTTGCATATAAAACTTACTATATAGTCATAATCTTGTACATATCTTTAATAAATTTTCAAAATTTATTCGGCACGGTATTAAAGGATATAAATACCAGATCAAATCAGATTTATTATATTTTTTATGATATTAAAAATATATATCAAATCAAATCAAGTCAAATTTATTAACACCAATACAGATAACTTTATCCGCACAATTCACATGTTTAGGATTTTGAAAGAAATTTAAATGTACTCCTCGTGCATACCGATATTGATATAGTTATAATTGGGCTAACTTGATAGCCGTCTGCATGACTACATGGATGAACTGGAGTTCATTGGACAATTGGAAGTCCCTCCATAAATGACTTTAGGTAGCACTATTTATGATAATACTTTACAAATAATTGGTTTATGTATCATATTAAGGTAACACTTTTAAAATATAGTGTTAGCAAAAACTAACAAAAGTATCATATAAGTGTTACCAAAAACTACCAAAAGTATTATCTTTGACTTTAGGTAGCACAAACAATTGCAGCGCCAATATTGTGTTACCTATTGTCTATAGGTAACATTTTATAACTTTTACGTAACATTTTATAGCTTTTACGTATCATTTCTTTAATGCTACCTAAAGTCATTTATGACCCGGAGTCCCACAGACGACCTAAGAAACATCCGGACGATCCAGAAAGCTCCTCACTTGGTATAAGATAGCTCGACCACAATGCAGTTTGGGCCACACGACTTGACGAGAGTCATGACGACCCGATAATCACCACAAACAGACTTAATAGGGAATGAGGAGGAATCTTATAGAGGTAAGAAGGAATCTAATAGTGACTAGGATATGATTAAGATGTGGATAAGAATTAAGCAGATCAAATTGTCCCCTGGCATCCAGACAAGCTGACTGCGGGTAGTTGGTCAGGCTATATCGGGCACGTATCCTTCTATAAAAGGGGTAAGGTACATCCAAAACACATTTTACATTCTTTACACACATTACACATAGCTATTGATTTACAGTGCATCATCATCTTCTTACCCTGTGCAAACTTGGGCGTCGGAGTGCTAATGTCGAGAGACCCTCCCGGCCGGCCCCTTTTCCAGGTCATTCTATAGCAGATCAGGTAGATCAGAACTCAAATCCACCCAGTTCAACTTTGAATCGAGTCTTCGGCACATCATTTGGCGTCATTTGCGGGGAGCGTCTGAAAGAACTAAGAGCTCACTATCCAGTTTTCAATCAGTTGACATGGATGAAAGAGAAGGGATACAGAGAAACTTGAACGAAGAATTTAGAGAAACTAGGACTGACAAGCGCCCTGTTTTGGCACTTAGTCTAAAGCCAGACATCTTCATGCTGGGATAGCCACCGTTGAGTAGCCATGTGCTGCCATTTAGTCTTTGAATAGCGGGTAATTTTTTAAGTACATTTAAAATTTAGAAAACTTTAATAATGTGTATTAATCCAATTAACATTATTTTGCATTTATCAAATTTGACTATTGTGCATTCGCAGCGCATGTATTTTTAATGTACATATACACACAATATATTAATACACTAATGTATAATTTGAAAAGCACTAATGTCCAATTCATCTAACACTATTGTGCATTTGACATGTGTTTTTAATGTGCAAATTCAATCGTGATATTGTGTGATGCACTGAACATTGTTGTGCAACTATCAAATTTTATTAATTTACAGATTTAACCCATGAACTAAACTGAAAATAGTTAAAATTTCTTAATTTGTATATAAGTCCCTTGGACTTATCTAATTTATAAAAAATCTGCCATATCCCTAATTTTTAATTTCGGTTTTCCCTTCTCTAATTTCTGAAAAGGGTGCTGCTTTTTTTCATTTTCAGGTCTCCGCAGACGGCGTCGGCTTCGGGACGAATGGAGAAGGCGACGGGGAGGCCGAGATGGCCGCCTACCCGGACATCATCGAGCGGTATTTGGAATGCGGCGGCAACAGGAGTGTGCAGCGGCGGATCTGGACGGGGGCGGCTGAGGAGGAAGATAACGGTAGCAGTGGCGGTATTTGGACGGCGTTGGTAGCCGGAGGATGCAACGGCGAATTTAGACGGGCGGGTGAGGAAGAAGATGACGGTAGTGGCAGCGGGATTTTCAAAGTGGAGGCAGCAGGAGTGTACAACGGCAAAATTTGGTCGGGACGGCTAAGGAGGAAGACGATGGTAGTGGCGACGGAGGTGGGGGACGTGACCGGTAAGGATGAGCGGGAGGAGGACGACGGCATCCCAAGGTCGACGAGACTACCGATGAGATAATATGAGGAGACGCTGTTGAACGATTGTGAACGGATAAGTGGCTACACCCGGCGAAAGTCGGACTGAAAAGAAGTCGGCTGAGTTGGGGATGCGGGACAGCATGCGTGGTTTCTCTGTGTGTGTGTGTGTGTGTGTGTGTGTGTGTGTGTGTGTGTGCATGTTGTGTGTGAGAGAGAGGATGATGATGTTCGGCGGGGCCCACATTTAGTTAGGTGATGGATCAATGGTTTGGTGATTGGTGGTTCTAGTGGGGTCCACAGGTTGATACGGAAAATATTCAAAATACCATTAATGAATGTATAAATGTTGGCATTTTTTTTACCGTTGGATCATCCAATCTGATGGCTAAGATTTATTCTTATTTCTTTCGTTGAAAACCATTCTCATCAGAGCACATTTCATTTATAGGTATAATATAAATTCGCTATCTCTAGTAGTATTTACCAAATACTTGTTAACGGACAAACACTAATAAAAGCATCTAATATGTCCAACTATTTGTCTTTTGGAAAAAAAAAAAATTAAAATTGTTCTTATAATTTAGCCTAAGCTATTTTTGCACTCAAATATTGACCACTTTCAAACTTGGTCCTATAATTTGACGTTTTTCTCAGTTTTGGTCTCTTTTTATCCGCACACTGGATAAAAATGTCATGTGACGTGATTTTTGATCTGATGTGGCGTGATTGTATAATTTCTATCAATGTAGGACTCTACATCCATCCACGTAGATTTATCACAGGCCTTAATTGCAATTAAAAAAACTCTTGTAATTGTAAAATAGTCTCAAAAAGTTGTCATTTTTGTAAAAACAAGCCCCCACTCCAATTCCCCTGACTTTCACAGCCGGCTCACGGCGGCGTACCAACGTATCCCTATTACTCTTCTCAGCTCTCATTCTCTCCCTTCTCACCTCTCAAATTTGTGGCGCGTCCGTGTGCCGAGCAACTATCGATTTTCGAGCCCCAAACACTAGCAGGCCTACATTTCCCTTCAGGTGTTGATGAACTCCATCCACTCAGATCCGCAGAACTTTACCTGCAAAACTACATTACTCAAGATGTCTTATGTGCTTCTTCGCCGGCGAATAGATCTCTCACGATGGTCGTCGGAATCGACCTCAACAAAGCGGACATCGTCGGCTCTCTGTCACCAGAGCTCGACCTGCTCACGAATTTGGCCTCATTCAACGTCAATTCCAACGGATTCTGCGGCGGCGTACCCAAAACCTTCGCGAGGCTCTGGCTAGTTTTTGAGATCAACCTGAGCAACAACCGATTTTTCGACGATTTTGGGGGAATGCTGTTGAAGTTGTCGTCGCTCAAGTTCCTGAATCTCTGGTCAACGAGTTCGAGGACCTCGTGCCGCCGAAGGTCTTCGACGAGGACCACGACGCAGTTTTCCTCAACCACAACCGATTTCGGTTCTGTCTGTCGCTTAACTTGGGTAACTTGTCGGTTTCTGTTTTGGTCCTGTCGAGCAATTACTTGAGCGGTTGTATACCGGCCAGCATTGGGAGGATGGTCGGGACAGTGAACGAGTTGATAAATTTCTCCTAAAACATCAGTGGACTACTCGAGCTTAGTACCTCGACCTCTCTCAAACTTGAGAATTAGTGTTATTGGAATTAAGGGGGGAGAAGATGGTGAGGTGTCAAATTTTTTTTCCATGGAAAAATTCCCATGAAGCCGCCATGGCATTCCGAGTCATATTAAAAAACAACCACGTCACACCACGCACATTTTTTATCCAGAGTGCGGATAAAAACCAAGTTTGAAAATTGTCAATATCAAAATTCAAAAATTGATTTTAGCCAAATTATAAGACTAATTGTACCAAAAAAAAAATTATAAGACTAAATTTAATTTTTTTGAGCCGTCTTTAGTGTAAGTAATTGACTAACCGCTAATCCCAAAAGAACCATAATAAAAAAAAATATATAAAAACTACAATTTAGGTGAAAAATCATAAAGATATTTTTTTTGTATATTTATTTCTTTATTATTTTGGTGCTCACATGCTAACCGTGTCTACATACGGGGCCGTTAAACGCGAAATTAATCTTTCTTTTCTATTTATAGGCGCCATTCCAACTCAAATCTCACATACAATACAACATAAACCAGCGCGCACGAAAAGAAAATAATAAAGCAAGAGAATTCTCGAAACATCTGTCGATCATCACAAACGTAGAGGCATTCATCGAAAATGGTGTTGATCGATCGGTACATTTTTGGGGGTTTTGTTGCTTCTTTGTTTGGATTCGTGTTGCTTTACAATTTGCGTAGGAACGTGAGGAAAACTAAAGGTCCAAAGGGTGTGCCGGCGGATGTGGGCTTTGCTAGGTCAGCCGACGGCGGATTCCGGGAGGATGCTGGCGGCGGTGACGCTGATGTCATCATTGTCGGCGCAGGGGTTGCCGGGGCGGCTTTAGCTTGTACACTTGGCAAGGTAAGTGATTTGTGATGGCCTCTACCCTTGATTTGTTCTGTGATTTGTTTTACAATCGACCGATTAATGTATGATAAGAAATTTATTAGATACTGGGACAACGAGGATTGCTTCTTTGGCGGTGGCATGGTGTGGTTAGATTAGAGTTTTAATTTCATTGATGCCTTTTTTTCTAAATAATCTGCGTGTTAGTGATGTATTTTTCGATATAAATAGAGTGAGGAGATAAATTCGTGGTGTTTCATTTTGTAAAAGACAAATGGGGAGAGTGATTGTTACATGGGTCTGAACAACAAGTTGACAAGATGTGGTGTAAATGAATCTGGTGATTTATACACGTAAAAGGTAACATTTTCGGCGAGATTTCGTATAAGCTCTGCCTTTAGGTGCAGTTCTAAATAATCTTAGTTGTCTGTTCGAGAAGTTCCATTTCATATTAAAAAGGTAACAATGGAAATAATCCAGAATTTTAGCTCTTTAATTCTTTTGCATTTCAAGGATTTACTCGGTCTGTGTAGCAATTATTGAATATCAACAAGCCACTCATACAGACTTGTATTGCATCAAATTCTTGAACATAAACTTACTTTTTTTTTTCTTGTGAGAAATCGATCTGGGTAGAGATGGATTGGCGATGTATATATCAAAAGTTTTTTATAGTTGCCTTCTAGTTTTTTGCTCATTTACTTTTTATCTTCAAATTCTGCTAGTCTTTCAGGATCCTGGTCATTTAATTAAAGAGTTAACAAAATTGGGTTTGTTGTGTTGTGACCTCAACTAGACTGTAGAAGTTAAACTATAATTTGTTATCGTCAACTTCAGTTTCCTCTTTCTATGTAGGACGGCCGTCGAGTGCATGTGATTGAAAGAGACTTGACTGAGCCAGATCGTATAGTTGGCGAACTTCTACAGCCTGGAGGCTATTTAAAATTAATTGAGTTAGGTCTTGAAGGTATATATCTACTACTTCCGAAGTACTTTTTACCAAATTTACTGTTCAAAAATTAGATGCTATTGCATCTACAGAGTTGTCCAACCTGCTATAGTTAGCTCTGGCCAAATTTCATTGAATTCTTTGTAGTGGAGTTAGATACTGCCAAGAAATTGGACTATCAAATTCTTTGTAGTGGAGTTTGGTGGTGTATAACGTATAGTCTCATGTAATTAATTATACATGGCTGCAGATTGTCTAGGAGATATTGATGCTCAACGAGTTTTTGGTTATGCCCTTTACAAGGACGGTAAAAGCACCAAGCTATCGTATCCCCTCGAGAAATTTCATTCGGACGTTTCTGGAAGAAGCTTTCACAATGGCCGTTTCATACAGAGGATGAGAGAGAAAGCTAAAACTATTCCAAAGTAAAAACTTAATTACTTGAAGCCATTGTTATTTTCCCATTTATTCAGATTAAATAATGCATGCTGATAAATTTGACTGTGTTAGGTTGGTAGTTTTGAACATCACATTAGTTTTTGCATTTTCATGAGCTTGATTGTTATTAACAAAAAGTCAAATGTTACCTTTTGTCCCACTTAGCTGGGTTATGTGACTAAATCCACCTAATAGGCTGATAATGTAACTAACCAATTAATGTCCTATTAATGCCAAAAAAGTAAAACCTTTTTATTCGCGACTTCATTTTATTTTTTTCTGGTTCAGTGTGAGACTTGAACAAGGAACAGTGACATCCTTGCTTGAGGAAAAAGGAACGGTTAAAGGAGTACAATACAAGACAAAGAATGGTGAAGTCATTTCTACTTATGCTCCACTCACAATTGTTTGTGATGGCTGTTTTTCGAACCTAAGACGTTCGCTCTGTACACCCCAGGTATACACGGTGCCTTACATATATGTCATTTTTTACGTATATTTTATAACAAATATATTATAAGTTCCATAATTTTTTACATGATTTCAGGTGGACATCCCCTCTTGCTTTGTGGGTTTGGTCTTGGAAAATTGCGAGCTACCTTTCGCAAATCATGGTCATGTTATTTTAGCCGATCCTTCTCCTATATTATTTTATCCAATCAGCAGTACAGAAATACGCTGTTTGGTCGATGTTCCTGGACAAAAAGTTCCCTCCATTGCCAATGGTGAAATGGCTAATTATTTGAAGACTATAGTGGCTCCTCAGGTACCTCAATTTTCGCAAAAGGGCTCAAACTTTCATCTTATTTCATTAGATTTGCACAATATGCAGATACAAAATAAGAATGTTTGGCTCTTCAGGTTCCACCTGAGCTGCATAATGCGTTTATTGCTGCTATTGAGAAAGGAAATATCAAAACCATGCCCAATAGAAGCATGCCAGCTAATCCTCAGCCAACTCCAGGTGCAATTTTGATGGGCGATGCTTTTAACATGCGCCATCCATTGACAGGTGGAGGAATGACTGTTGCCCTTTCAGATATTGTCATCCTTCGTGATCTTCTCAGACCTTTACCAGATATAAATGACGCGTCCACTCTTTGCAAGTATCTTGAATCCTTCTATACTCTCAGAAAGGTGAGTTATATAGGTTTATTATACTTCTAATTTTTTTCAAACGAAAATAAGTACTTCTGTCACATTTTAGAACAAACATGTGAATTTAGATTTTTTTTTTTTTTTTTTTTT